AAGGCGTCAATAAGTCTCGAAACATAAGTCAATTTATTTTTTGATTGATTTTTTTTTATGGCTCATTTTTTTTTTTTGATTTTTTTTAGCCAATATTTTTTTTCAAAGGGCTTTTTTTTTTTGGAGGAGATTTTTTTTTGTCCAATTGATTTTTTTTTAAGCCCGATTTTTTTTGGACTTTTTTTTCTTTCCCCGATTTATTTTTTAGGGCTTTTCTTTTCTTTTTTTTTTGGCATAATTGACTGAACTCGGAGTTATATTCCAAGTTGCCTACGTATCCGGTGAAGGAATCAAGTCATAACGTAGTTCAAAACAAATTGAATTTGTTTGTTTTTGTTAAACAGTTTATTCTCGTGTTAAGGAGTCTTGTTAGAAAGTTTATCCTTATTCCCAGGAGATTGAAGAAATTTTATCATCGTTTCTAGGAGGCTGTAGAAAGTTTATTCTCTTTTTCCAAGAGATTGAAGAAAGTTTATCCTCGTTTCCAGGAGATTGAAGAAAGTTTATCCTCGTTTCTAGGAGGTGAAGGAATTTTATCCTCGTTTCTAGGAGGAAATCTTCAGTAAGCGACATCATGCTCAATTCCATATCATGAGCGCGAGTGGCGAGTTCTTCAAAAGTATAGGGTCGGATCCATTGTAGGATGTATTTCAAGCTCCATTGCATCCCTTGAATGCACATTTCTATGCCGAAAGCCTCGGACATGCGGTCTTTGCAGTTGAGGCTTAGACTTCTCCAGCGGTTGATGTAGTCAATTACTGGGTCATCTTTCCATTGGCGGATGTTGGTGAGTTCGGTCATGCTGACAGTTCTCTTTGTGTTGTAGAACCGATTCAAGAACTCGTACTTTAGTTGTTCCCAATTTTCGATGGAACCAGCCTCTAAGTCGATGTACCAGTCGAAGGCGTTGCCGTTTAATGACCGCACAAATTGTTTGACTATGAGGTCTTCATATATTCTGCATCGTTGCATGTCTCGACAAAGTGCGCTATACGTTGGTTTCGGTTGCCTTTTCCGTCAAATTTTTGAAACTTTGGTGGTTGATAGCCCGTTGGCATTTTGAGGGCGTCAATCCTTGCAGTGTAAGGCTTAGCGTAAGTGTGCGTCGGCCTTGAACTCCCTTCGAATTCTCTTTTGATTGCCCATTGATGTATTTGTCAAGTTGGGATATATGGATGAAGGAGTTGGATGATCCTTGAAATGGATTTGACTCCGTCACATTTTCTTTGCCATGACATTGCTCCACAGTTCTTGCCGTTTTATTTTGGGCTGCTGGGAAAGATGGTTGTTTTTTGATGGCATGACTGGATTCTTCAGGCTTATCCAGCTTTGCGAGAAGCTTTTCGATGAGGGCATCTTGTTGTTGCATGTGTTGAGACATCCCTTCAACGATCTTAGCCAATGCTGCAAGTTGGTCTTCTATATTTGAAGCATTGATAGTCATCACCAGAGCAGAGTTTGATGCGGTTGAATGACTTGAAATTGGCCAATGAGTAGGTGGCATGAAAGTGCCTTTGAAGCTTTGATCTTCCTCGTAGTGCAGACTTTGATCCACAATCTTTGGATCCTCAATATTTGAAGCGTTGGTAGTCATCACTGGAGCAGAGCTTGATGCGGTTGAATGACTTGCAGTTTGTTGAGGGGTGAACAGTGCGGTAATACTCTTAAAATTGTCGTCTTCTTCATAGAGTGGACTTTGCTCTGTGATTTTTGGAAAAGTGTCTTCGGATAACGACAATACTTTTTTGTTCATGCTTCTTGTTGTCATTCCAACATTTGTTGCAGCGCTTGAAGTTTTTGACGCGATGGGTGCCCCAACTTCTTTGACGGCGACGGCGGCTTGAGCAACAACTTTTGACGCAAGGTTGGAAGTCTTGATCTTGTAGGGAGCCATTGGTTGTTGAAAGTTCGTCGGAAAGAGAGATGAAAGGTAGAGAGGTCCCACTGGACATGCCAAAAATTTGTGGACAAAAAATTGTGTTATTTTTAATAAACACAAAATTTGTACAAATTATATTTGATTTGGATTTAAAGCGGATTCTATTCTCTAAATGGGTCCTTTGATTCTCTTTCCGGGTCGATTTGTTTTCCAACTTAGTTTTCGATGGCTTCTTTGATCCAAAGAGGTTTGGTCTTCGGTTTGACTTTGCTGGCTTTTGGTAGAGAGGTTTGGTTTTCAATGGCTTCTTTGATCCAAAGAGGTTTGGTCTTCTTGAAGCTTTGAAAGGAACTTTGGAGACCTTCCCTTGACTTTGACGAATTCCTCAACGGCTTTGAGAGCTTTGATCCTTCCTCCGGCTTGGACATACGATGAAGAACGTTAACTTCATCGATTCGTCAAACAATATTAGATCATTTGTCCAAATTAGTGACTTTCGACGAAGAACGCTTCGAAGGACACGAAGAACATAAAGAACAATACAGAGAGAGTCTAGAGACTTATCCCTTTGCTTGAATCCTCAATGTAACTTCGGTGTCTCAAATGAACTGGCTATGGCTCCTATTTATAGGGAATTGGTGGCTTCGGCTTCCTTTTTTAATGATGCCATGTGGCACGTTTTGATTGGCTAATAGAAAGATTTTATAATATTTCTTTTTCCATCAGATGCTCTTTTCCATTCTTGACGGATTTGATTGTGCACCTTCCTTTCTCACCAAGATTTTATATCATTGCCTTTTTTCGGAAGATATTAATTTATATACTTCCTTTATTGACAAGATTAATTTATTTTGCTATCAAATTTATAATGACTCTATTTGTGCACGTAATATTTGTACGATATCTTCCATTTTAAGCAGATTTTCGCATTAATGGTTGATATTTATTGTACAAAAATTAACATATGTGCATAATTAAATACCACATATTTATTTTATTGGAATTTTATTTTCTTCCAAAATACATGATATTTAATTGTTTTAGACATATATTTTTAGTGTCTATAGTACAAACCTATCCAAGATACAAATAAAATAGATTCGAGCCATTGTAAATTCAATAATTTTACAAAAAACACAAACCTAACTTACTTTTTCGAACTTTTCTTTGGGGATGAGGTCTTTTTCGACATTTCAAGTGAGATCGGAGCTCTCAGCGGTGAGGGGAGACTTCCGGCGACAGCAAAGCTTTCTTTGGGGAGGGCGATTATTTCATCGGGTGCTTCAACGGCGAGAGACAGAGTGAGAGGGAAGTGTTTGGAAGAGATAAATCTATCAAGAACATAGGGTGATAGGTTTTATTTGGATTTTATTTTATTTTTATTTAAATATTTGTAACAAATTTCAGTATATAAATAAAAATTTCAGGCATATTGCTCTAACATCTTTGTTATAGAGCGAGATAATTTTGAGTTATGTAATTAAATAACATAGGTTTATATAGAAATAAGGAGAGTAAATACAACATTCGTTATATTTTTAGTTTAATTAATTATATTTAAATTTTGATTATTTTTAGATTATTTTATATAATTAAACTAACCCTAAATTTTGGTTTACTTTTCTCCTATTAAATCCATCATATTCAAAATATACATGAGAGTTTTTTTTTAATTATAAATACTCTCAGATACGGGTTACTAAACCTACTTTTGCCATCGTTATTTGGGAGCAAGGGTTTGGCAACATCTTTCTAGGGTTCCACCGTTTGACAACATCTTCCCAGGGTTTCAACCTACTTGAAGAAGTAGATCTGAAGCACAATACTTTAGCAATGGTTGGAGGTTTATTTAATTATCGTATTCCCTTCTGCTAAAATATTGGACTTAAGAATTATTTCTAACATTTGGTATTAGAGTTATTCTACCTCTATCTTGCTTTAAATTTTCTTCTCATCAAATTATTGATCAAGATTCGCTTTAATTTTTTATTTGAAAATACTTATGATTTTTTAATTTTCAACAATTTCTTTGCAATATTTTTTTATAGAGATCCAATCCTGAACTTTCGAGAAGATTTCAATTTCAATTTTAAAAAAAAAAAAAATCGATTTCAAATTAATTGGCATATTAATCGATTTATGAGAATGTTGAATGTTCCGATATGAATTTAAGTTTTCTTCTTTAATTATTCCGGTGCATTTATATTTGTGTCAGAATTTTGTACGCAAATAAATAAAATAAGAAAGTGGGTCTGCTTTCTTGGTCGTGTTTGTTGAACATAGCATTTATGGTTTAAATTTTTGACTGCACAAATCATTCTTTAATTTATTTATTTATTTTGTGTTTTCAAGAAAAATGGTCCAAGAAATGGGTAAATGAATAAACAAATAAATAAATTATCCTTATTTATATTGTTCTAGTGGGCATTTTATTAAGTTTTTTCCTGCAGGTAGCCAATTTAGAAAGATTAGTGCACGGCTTGTCTCTTACATTATGTTATGTCATTTGGAAGGACATTTAACATGCAACGTTAATTGTTGGCCTACGAATATGTGTGAACATTGTGTGTAAATATATAAAAAAATTTATTATTTTTATTTTGTTTAATTGGAGCCAAAATCTCCGTAAGTGTCTGCATCATATTTTAATTGAAGCACGCTGTTGACATTAATCTAATTGATTTATGCATATCTTTATTTCGGATTGTACGTTCATGATTTATTTTAAATTTTAATTAATTGAGAAATAGCCACAACATTCTCGATTAATTAAAAATTTATTTATGATTTATTTGAAATCATATTAATAGACATCAATTGTAATTATTATGTAAAATGTAATGAAATATATCCATAGGAGTCTTGTTATATTTATATGAGTAATTAGGATAAAATATTTAATTGTATTTCTTAATCTACCAACATGAATTAAGAAAAAGAACGTAATTTGATAGTTTTATTATTAGGTTCTGTTTGAATCTAATTGAGTAAAACTTTAGTCCAAGGGCAAGTCTTATGTCTTTAAATTCATGTCTTAACATGTCTACATTGGTAGAACATGTAATTTATTTGTCTTGTTTATTGATAAGCGTGTATATTTAATTTTGCAGCGTTTAATCATATGAATTTATCTGATATTAAGTGTGATATTCCCGAATTGACTGGTCATAATTACAAAATTTGGAAGGAGAAGATTCACCTTCATTTGGGCTGGATGGACATTGATTGTGCTATTCGGAAACACGAGCTGCCGGGTATTATTGAAACCAGCGAGCCAGAAGATGTTGATCTTTATGAGCGGTGGGAGAGATCTAACTGTTTTTTCATGATGCTCATAAAGACCAAGATATCAATTGGTATCCGTGCATCTGTCGATCAACATAATAATGTCAGAGAGCTTTTGAAAGCTATTGACGAACAATTCGTCAAGTTTGATAAGGCTCTTGCCAGTACACTAATCATTCAGTTCTCCACCATTAGATTCACGGGTTTGAGGGGTGTGCGCGAGCACATAATGCGCATGCGGGACATTGCGGCGTAGTTGAGAAGCTTAGAGGTGACCATGTCTAAGTCCTTTTTTGTCCATTACATTTTGTGCACCTTACCTCATCAATACGGTCCATTCAAGATATCCTACAACACACATAAAGATAAATGGGCCATAAATGAATTGATGACCATGTATGTTCAAGAGGAAGATAGACTGTTGATGGAGGAATGTGAGAAAGTGAATCTGACAGTTCATGGCAAGAAGAGAAAGCATGATGCAAAGGGGAAGAGACCTGTGCCAGCCGAGCGGGTTATACAGAAGAAGTCTACGTGCTTTTTCTGTAAAAAGAAAGAACACATGAAGAAAAACTGCATTAAGTTCAAAACCTGGCTCGAAAAGAAAGGTATCCTTTTGCATTTGTCTGTTATGAGTCTAATATGGTTAATATTAATTATAACACATGGTGGATTGATTCTAGTTCTACAATCCATATTTCCAATACCTTGCAGGGTATGGAAAGCCTAAGGAAACAAATGGGAAGTAAACAGTTCATCTATTCCGGTAGTCGCGTTGGAAAAGACTTTTTATGTTCCTAGTTTTTCCAAAAATTTAATTTCTGTATCAAGACTATCATATTTGGGTTTTTCATTTCACTTCATGGACTCTAGGTTTTTTTTTTTTTGAATTTTGAATCTAGAACCGTTGGTTGTGGTGAAATAAATGATGGTCTTTATTCAATCAAATTGCAAAACGACACTACTTTTGATTCATTACATGTCACGGCTGGTTTGAAACGATGTGTTATGAATGAGAACTCATACATGTTGTGGCATTGTCGATTGGGACATATCTCAATTGACAGAATTAAGAGATTAGTGAATGAAGAGATACTTAGTACCCTGAATTACACTGGTTTTGAGACTTGTGTGAATTGCATTAAGGGTAAACAAATTAACAAGTCCGTAAAGGAAGCACAAAGGAGTTCAAATCTTTTGGAAATTATTCATACAGACATTTGTTATCCGGACATGGATACAAGTGGTCCGAGATACTCCATTACCTTTATTGACGATTATTCACGGTACATGTATCTCTACTTACTTCATTCTAAGGATGAAGCTTTAGAAGCCTTTAAAGTTTTCAAGGCTGAAGTAGATAAACAATGTGGAAAGCAAATCAAAATCGTCAGATCTAATAGAAGTGGTGAGTACTACGGCAGATACACAGAAAATGGACAAGTTGCCGGTCCATTTGCGAGGTTTCTTTAAGAGAATGGGATTGTTGCCCAATACACTATGTCTGGTTCTCCAGACCATAATGGTGTTCCAGAAGAAAGAAACCGAATATTAATGGACATGGTGATGAGTATGAGGAGTAATCTGAAACTTCCTCAGTTATTGTAGACTGCAACACTAAAGACGGCTGCGTATATATTGAGCCGGGTACCAACCAAGGTTGTCGCAAGGACACCTTTTGAATTATTCAAGGGTTGGAAACCGAGTTTGGGACACATACATGTTTGGGGATGCCCGTATGAGGTGAGAATTTAGTGGGTATTTCATTGGGTATGCCGAAAATTCTAAAGGATGTATATTTTATTGTCCATCTCATAGCACTAGAATTGTGGAATCGAGAAATGCTAAATTTCTCGAGAATGACTTGTTTAGTGGGAGTGATCATTTTCAAGATACTCATTCTGAAAGAAATCACTATAAAGATTAACATACTGAATCAAGTGACAGATTGATTGTCTTCCACACCCCTCAAGTTTTCAACGCGTGTTCGACGATTAACTAATGAAGTTCCACAAGCTACTGAAAATGATCATGTAGATTGAGTTATTAATGAAGAACATCAAGAAAATGTTGAAAAAAATGATGATGAATCAGTTGGTCAACAAGTTTTTTATGATAATGATGAGACAACATTTAGAAGATCTACACGAGTAAAAAAAACTAGCTATTTCTAGTGACTTTATAGTGTATCTTCAAGAATCGAATTACAATATAAAAGCCGAAAATGATCCTGAAACGTTTTCACAAGCCATAAATTCTAAAGAATCCAATTTTTGGCACAGTGCTATGAAAGACGAGATGAACTCTATGACATCAAACAAAGTCTGGGATCTTGTCGAGTTGCCTGAAGGTGTAAAAGCCATCGGATGTAGATGGATCTTCAAAACCAAAAGAGACTCTAATGGCAACATTGAAAGACATAAAGCAAGACTTGTTGCCAAAGAATTCACTCAAAGGGAATGAATCGATTACACCGAGACATTTTCTCCGGTATCGAAGAAAGATTCTCTCCGTGTGATCATGGCATTAGTAGCTCAGTTTGATTTTGAGTTACATCAAATGGACGTGAAAACGACATTCCTAAATGGTGATCTAGAGGAAAAGGTTTATATGAAACAACTTGAAGGATTTACCTCTAATGGTGGAGAAATTTAGTCTGTAAGTTTAATAAATCCATATATGGATTAAAGCAAGCCTCCCGCCAATGGTATTTGAAATTTCATGATGTTATTTCTTCATTCGGATTTGAAGAAAATGTCATGGATTATTGTATATACCAGAAGGTTAGTGGGAGTCGTATTTTCTTCCTTGTGTTGTACGTGGATGATACTTTGCCTGCAACTAATAATAAAGAGATGTTATATGAGGTGAAACAATGTCTCTCAAAGAACTTTGATATGAAAGATATGGGAGAGACATCTTATGTCATTGGCATTAAGATCCATAGATGTAGAAATCAAAACATTTTGGGTTTGTCTCAAGAAGCCTATATCAAAAAAGTTCTAGAAATATTTAATATGAAAGATTGTTCATTGAGTGTAGCTCCCATTGTGAAGGGTGACAGACTCAATTTGAGTCAGTGTCCGAAAAATGACTTTGAAAGGGAATGCCTGAGAAATATCCCTTATGCTTCAGTAGTCGGAAGTCTTATGTATGCTCGGGTTTGCACCAGGCCTGACATATCATATGTTGTTGGAGTATTAGTGAGCTATCAGAGTAATCCGGTTGTTGACCACTGGATAGTTGCAAACAAAGTGATGAGGTACCTTCAAGGTACAAATAAGCTATTTGACAAGAAATCTGCTGATGTTTTGAGAATGGCATTACGTATCCCAAGAAATAAGCGGAAAAAACCTGAGTGGTTGACCAGTATGCAGTTTGCCGACATGAAAAGTAGATGGGATTCTGAAAATTACCGCGCTGTGCAACAAAGGAACACCGGAAATCGTGAGAAAAATGATGATGCACAATTGAATCAATACCGAGGAGGGCATGGTCTACTGGACTTGTACAAAAAAAATGGTAGCACCTTTTTTATTTTTCCATTTCATTATTTAAAACGATATGTTTTATTAATAAAACTATATATATTTTTATTTATTTTAAATATATTTATGAAAGAAATCTCATTACTTTAAATTTTTTGTTGTAAGAAATCGATTTGGGACGTAGTCCAACATAAATTGAAATCCATCGAAGGTTTTTTGTCAAACCTAATGGCACTTATCTATCACAAGTGGCAGCAAAAACCGAGGTAAAACTAATTATGTTTTGTATTTCTCTTTTTATTTTATATTAATTTTTGTAATTAGATGAATATTATAATTTGTATATACCATATTCAAATCTGTAACTATTATTGATTTTGTTACACATAGCATGATATTTATTTTTGTTGAATAGGACATTCTTAGTAAGTTATCTCTAGGTAACCAAAGTAATTTGACTCTAAAAGACCTTGTGGATGCATACGGAGGAATTGATAAAAAAGCGCGAGTGTCGGGTCATGGTTCATGTGGGAAGATTACTCGTGTAATGCTACAAGGATTTTTCTCTCATTCTACACAATGCTATCCCCCACCACCCCCAACAACATCCTTAAACGAGTTTCGCTCCATGCAACAAAAATTACAAGAAACACAAACAAATCTTGATGAGGTAATTTTATTTATTTGAATGTAGTTACTTTTTACCTTTAGTTATCAATTTTTTCAATTCAACGTACTAATAGATGATCATTTTTTTTGTGTACTATAGTTGAAAAAGTATATGAAGACATTATCGCAGTTCATTGCGCATACACACAATCCACACCTACGATTTAGTGACGACACCTCTAATACTGCAGAGCCCTTTCTTCAGTCAATTTTTCAAGTGCCTAACCCACTACAAATGGATGAAAATGCTCCAATCAAAACACATCAAGTATCTGAGCAAGGTGACAGTGATGAAACAATTAATGCTACCCGTTCTGATTCCGATTGATATATTAGGATTGTTATTATCTTAGGAATATTATTATTTGAACTATTTATGTCAGTATTATATTTGGCTTTCTTGAATTTTAGTAGATAGTCTATTACTATTTGTATTGTTATTCCGATTGATATATTAGGATTGTTATTATCTTAGGAATATTATTATTTGAACTATTTATGTTAGTATTAGATTTGGCTTTCTTGAATTTTAGTAGACAGTCTATTACTATTTGTATTGTTTTTCATATAATGACTTCTTCCCTTATTTATTATCATATTTCATTTGGTATTTTTTTTCTGTTAATATTTTTTAATTTAATTTTTGCTTTACAATATGAATTGAAATACAAAAAAAATTTATAAAAATAGCAATATTGTTTAAAAAAATATTCAAAACATCGTAATAGAATTGACAACAATTTTTGTGATAATTGCAAATTTTCTCACTAAAAAAAGTTACAGTACTGTTACAATTATCGTGATTAAAAATCTTGGAAAATGCTACAATTTTTTGTGACTATATAATAATTATGATATTGTTGGAATATTTGTCACGAAAAATAGTTACGATATTGTTGCATTATTTGTCACTAAAACTTGTCACGATATTGTTACAATGTTCATGAGTACGAAAACTCATTAGATTCTTGCAACATTCGTGAAAATATAATAGAAACGAATTTGTTGTACCTCTCGTGACAATATAATATAAACGAATTTGTTGTAACTCTCGTGACTTAAAAATCTCGGCAATCCCACAACCTTTGTGACAATATAA